TCAACCACGCAGGGATGAAGTCAGGAAGGCCAAAGTACAACTGGAGTTGCAGCTAGCAAGGGATGCAAAGGGTAACAAGAAGGGTTTTTACAAGCATCTTGGTAGCAAGAGAAGGATCAGGGAAAGTGTGGGTCCCTTACTGAATGGGGGAGGCAAACTTGTGACAAAGGATGCAGAAAAGGATTAAGTGCTCAATGCCTTTTTTGCCTCAGTGTTCACAGGCAAGATCAGCTCCCAGACTACTGCACCAGGCAGCACAGTTTGGGGAGGAGGTAAGCAGCCAACAGTAAAAAAAACAAGTTAGGGACTATTTAGAAAAGCTGGATGTATACAAGTCAATGAGGCTGGACGGGGTGCACCCAAGGGTGCTGAGAGTTGGCTGATGAAACTGCAGAGCCATTGGCCATCATCCTTGGAAACTCCTGGCTATCAAGAGAGATCGTGGATGACAGGAAAAGGGCAAACATAGTGCCCATATTTACGAAACACAAAAAGGAGGATCCGGGGAACTGCAGACGAGTCAGCCTCGCATCACTCAGTCCCTAGAAAATTCATGGAGCAGATCCTTAATAAATCCATTCTAAGCATTTGGAGAAGAAGGTGATTATGAACAGTCAGCATAGATTCATCAAGGGCGAGTCATGCCTGACCAACACAACTGCCTTCTATAAAAAGATGACTGGCTCTGTGGATGCAGGGAGACCACTGAATGTGGTGTACCTTGATTTTAGCAAGGATTTTGATATGGTCTCCCACAACATTCTCACAGGCAAGCTAAGGAAGTACAGGCTGGATGCGTGGACTGTAAGGTAGACAGAAAACTGGCTGGAGCATAGGGCTCAGAGAGTAGTAATCAATGGCTCAATATCTAGTTGGCAGCTGATATCAAGAGGAGCGCCCCAGACGTCAGTCCTGGGGATGGTTTTGTTCATCAGTGACCTGGGAGATGGCATAGAGTGCACCCTTAGCAAGTTTTCAGATGACACCAAGCTATGGGGAATAGTAGAAACGCTGGAGGGTAGGGCTAGGATTCAGAACACTGGACCAAAAACAATCTCATGAGGTTCAACAAGGTTCAACAAGTGCAAAGTCCTGCACTTAGGATGGAGCAATCCCACGCACCAGGACAGGCTGGAGGCTGACTGGCTAGGCAGCAGCTCTGCAGAAAAGGACCTGAGGGTTACAGTGGATAATAAGCTGAATATATGCCCATAGCATGCCCTTGTTGCCAAGGCGAACAGCATACTGGGCTGCATTGATATTGATAGGAGTGTGGCCAGCAGGTCAAGGGAAGTGATTATTCCCCTATATTCAGCACTGGTGAGGCCACATCTGGAGTACTGTGTCCAGTTTTGGGCCCCCACTACAAAAAGGATGTGGACAAATTGAAGAGAGTCCAGCAGAAGGCAACAAAAATAGTGAGGGGGCTGGGGGACATGACTTATGAGGAAAGACTGAGGGAACTGGGCTTCTTTAGTCTAGAGAAGAGGTGACTGAGAGGGGACTTAATAGCAGCCTTCAACTACCTGAAGGGGAGTTCAAAAGAGGATGGAGCTGGAGCGTTCTCAGTAATAGCAGATGACACAAGAAGGAGCAACGATCTCATGTTGCAGTAAGGGAGGTTTAGGTTAGCTATTAGGAAGAATTTTCTCACTAGGAGAGTAGTTAAACACTGGAACAGGTTACTCAGAGAGCTGGTGGACACTCCATCCTTGGAGGTCTTCAAGACCCGGCTAGACAAAGCTTTGGCTGGGATGATCTAGTTAGGGATAGTTCTGCTTTGGGCAGAGGGCTGGACCAGATGAGCCCCTGAGGTCCCTTCCAACCCGAACTTTGCACAATTCTATGACTAGACACCCACCGCGGGTTTATCCCCGGAACCAGCGCAGTTCTGACCTGCTGCTGACCCAGTGTGGCGGGGAGCCAGGACACCCGGGCTCCACCCCACTGGGGAGTGGGTGAGGGGGGTTGGGAGTAGTGCATCCTGGGATGTTGGGGGACTGCAAGTTGCTGTTTTTCTCTGGGGACCAGGCCCACGTTGCCGCCACGCCAGAGCGGAGGGGAGGAGGGGTCACTCACGTTGTAGGTGTGGAAACTGCGGCCCACGGCGACGACCAGATAGAACTCGCGGTGGCGCTGGTGGAAGCGCAGCACGTGGGGCAGCGAGCCAGAGTACAGCCCCAGCGCGCGGAACCCCGCGAACAGCGCGCTGTCCCCGCCTGGCGCCCCGCTCCCCGCTCGCAACATCCTCGCTCCGCGCCGCCACAACCACGCGCCACTTCCGGTACCCGGCCGGCCGCCGCGGTGCGTTGCGGAAACAGAGCCCCCGGCTACAGCCTGCTGGCACAACGCGTTCCGCCCGCCCCGGAGGCCGGGTGAATCGCCGCCCGAGATGCTTTTAGGGCAGGTTTTCCCTCAGGCACCCACGAATCTTGGCGCTCTCTCCCTGCTCTCACTGAGGGTATTCGCTTGGGAGTAACCTTTAGCCTCTGTGACGGGAACTAGTTGTGATGGGAAAAGAAAGGCTGGAAATTAAAAGCAGCGGGCATCTGCTACCCCGCACCTGACTTCAGCCTCCTGCCTTGGTACCAGCGGTGCGGGGGGATTTTTCCTTCCCCCTGGGACGCTCTTGAGCACATCAAGCCTTTTGAGGAGGCAACAGCAGCTGTTGCTAGAGCGTCAGCAGCCGCCAAAAAGTGGCTGGAGGAGCAGAAATGAAGTGTCAGACAGGCCAAAATAAATTCTTGGCGTTCTCAGGCCCAGCTCACTTAAATTTTAGAAGAGATGGTTTTATCGTGTGCACGCATGTCTTCCTTTTCAATATATGGGAATGGCAGCTCAGTTCAGGGGCGACGCATTGCGGGTGCACACAAGTGCGTGGGACGCTGTCGGCGGTGCCTGCGGGCGGTCACCACTCGCCACCCGGCCACCGACACAGCTGGCGGTGTCTGCAGGCGGTCAGCAACCGCCGCTGGTCGCCGCCGCCTGCGGGAGCTCCCCGCTCACTGCCGCTGGGCTGCGGCCGCCAGCGCAGCCGTGCCTCCCCAGCCGCGAGGGGCATGCGCCGTTCATGGTTCAGTTTGAGGCAGGCAGGCAAGAGGAACAACTCAAGGTCTTCTGCTTCCCATTGCAGGCAGGCCTCGCTGTCACTGTAAGTGGTAGGGCTGGAGAAGAGAAAATAGCTTTCACTATCACTCTTGTCTTCTGTGGCTCTCGTGGTACAAAGATGGAAGTGAGGAGAACAAACTTTTCCACCCTTCTCTGATAAGTTGGAAGAGGAGGGGGGGAAAGGACGGTAATAATGTTGTTTGAGAGTGCTGCTTTGTGCATAGCTACCGGTGTTTGAGAGAAAATCCAGCATTTTCTGGTTAAACTAGGTGTCCTGGAATCACCAACGGTTTCTGTATATTTTCTGCTGTTTTCAGGGGGCAACTTTTTCAGACCCTCACTGCTCAGGCAGTTTACAAGCTCCTACAGCAATACTCCCTCAGCTCAGAAGAAATAAATCCTATCTTCCCTAACTCCATATGTTGTTACACTACAGCACTATTTGGTTTGGCTGAGCACAAAATCCTGCTGTCAACTAGGACTTTCATTTTCATAGATACAGGAATAGGTACCCATAAAATTGAGTAGGATCACTGCAGGAAGAAAAGGAGGGAGGGAGGGCAAGGTAGTCTGATATGCACAAAAACCATCACCAACAAAGCCAAAAATAAGTACTCGATGTGTACAAAATCCCCTGTCAACACTAATAATATTTCTAAAAGTTCCCTTCTAAGCCAGCTTTTGTTTGGAAAATAGATATGACGTGCACAAAAAACTATTAATAATGTGTACAAAAATTGCTCTTTAAAGCACATAAACTAACCACCACCAATGCAGTCAGATACACTGGACATGCCCCCAACTTTTAAATCTCTCCCCCCATCCGGCTGCTGCTCCTTCCTGCCCACATATGCTTCCTTTCCCCTTTTTTTTATTTCATTTTGTTTTTCCCTTCATGTGACTGCTAATCCCTCTCAATTCAGGATGCACTTTACATACATACACGCAGGAGTTGATCAACATTGTTTTAATTGCTGGAATCATACACTGTGTTTGCAAGCTATTTGTTTAACAAACATATGCCCATCAGGTTTTACAAAATAAATTAAAAAGATATTCAAGTCAAATTAACAAAAAAAATCATTGCAACATTTACAACTTTTTGCATAGCTGGTAATAAATACTGGTAAAAAAAATTAAGGCACCGTGTCCTCGAGATTCATGTAACTTCTCCATAATGACCTTAATTCTGCAAGTTCTTTATTACAGGAGCCAGGGGCCCTTCTTTTCCGAGCAACAGGTTTGAGACATCCAGGATCCTGTGGACCATGAGACCATATATCAGTAAATTACCTTTTAGGTTCTAACCACACGTTACTGGTTTGATCCGAGGCACTGCCCTCTGGTCAGATTGACTTGGTTTAAGATAAAGGAGATTCTCTTTCTCCCACCCCTATTCCCCAATTTACAGCCCTAAAAAGGGGACCTGGACTCAGAAAGTCAGGCTGCTCTTTATGGCCTGCACATCACCTAATGTAATAGGGAACAGAATTTGCTCCTATGATATTGGAGGGTCCCTTGGCAGCCACCAAGAACAGTTCTGCTGCACCAGAAGAGATAAGTATTATTCCTCTATCCCAAGCCAATGCCCAGCACCCTGGCTGCTAGTCTGCACTGGCAAAAAGTGAAGAGAAACTCTGCCCCATCATCAACAGGAGCTGTAGCGTAGCTTAGATGCATTCAGGTATTTTTTTACCCTAGTTTTATAGTAGTAAAGAGCCTTGCACCTAAGCACGCTGATGCAGGAACTTCCACAGCTGATATCACGGCTAGAACCACCCCAGAGGTGAATCCCAGGTCCGGTCTGAGCAGACGGACTAGAGAGGTAGGATGCAGCTTTGAGCCAACCAGTGTCTGAGGCAGGATGAACTTCCTTGGAGGGGCGAGGACAAGAATCAATCACGTATGCACCAATCTGTCTTCCCTCTACCCCCAGGAAATATCTAGTGACAAATACTTGCTTTGCCTGTTTTGATCACCTTTAAAATTCATCATCAGTAGAGACCTCACCTCTGGCTTTCAAAGAAACATAAAGTAGCAAGCGTCTTAAGCGTTCCCAAAGCAAAGGAAGCCGTCTCACCCGTGCACAATACACTCAAATTTTGCTTTAGAAGATTAAAAAAAAGGGGGGGTACCCACCCCCCAACCCGGGGAGCTCTGTGCTCTGTTCTTACCTGCAAAGGGTCGTAGCTTTTGCAATTTTCGTTCAGAAGCTCACGAGTGTCCTGCCAGATGCGTTTATACTGCATGCAGATGCAGCGCCTGGTAACGTTGTGTATGCACCGCAACAGGTTTTCGTTCTGGTACGCGGAGACAACGTGATCGCGATCGGTCAGCTGAGGTTAACAGCCGATAGATGGCACCCGTTACACCTTTCTCAGCAAATCCTTGCTCTTTCTAAGAAACTGCCTGAAAGAGCTACACATCCCTATCTACCATGGACCGTTTCCTTTTCAGCACCTTTGAAAAGCAGTGAAGAGAAGGAGCGAAACACGCTGAGCTATCAACCCGCACGTGTTCATGGTTTTCTGTTTAAAATATCTTAATCTCCGCCTCTCCCTCCCCAGCAAGTTTTATATTTGTATCAACCCCAAACCACTTCATTATTGTTGGGCTCTGTGAACTGAGCTCCAAGCTTTGCCTGCTCTACCACGGGAAGTCCCGAAGCCCCTTCAGATTTCCCTAAGCATCATTTCATGGGTTCGAAGAGCAATGAAATAACACTCACACCGACTTCGCAGTCATGATAATCTTGATCCTAGAAACAGAGAGAGAAAATAACAGCAGTTCGCATATAACCAGACGATCACACCAGGCAACTTTATTTAGCAAAAAGGAACTTTCTCCAGCATTGTTGGCTTTTGCATTTATGGTATAAATTGGTTATAAGGATTGCAAAGTTTTTATGAGCTATTGAATTTTCTTCCCATACCTGGTACCTGGAAGACTTATCTCAAATGTTCTAAGTTATCTGACAAGTCCCTGTCCAGAGCAATCTACTGACATGCTTAGCTTGAAGAAAAAAGTCTTCCGTGGTAGGTGTGTGTATGGACACATGCACAGTACACATGTCATATCCCACTTACATCCTATCATGCAGATTACTGTTGCATATTAATATTGAATGGAATACACCGTCAGATTTATCTTGGTTGGAAGGACTGTGTCCTTGTTTCACCTTTTCTCATCCACTGCAAGTTACAAGGGTATCCTGAATTCAGGCTTCAGGTTCCCCTGGAAAACGAGGGGTAAATTTTCCCTTCCAAAAGCTGTTGGGCAAAAACCATTTACCAAGCTATTCAAGACCTAGATTTACCAGTAAATATTCTCCAAACTATCTTTCGAGCACCATTAAGGGCAGGCAGAGATGTAGCAGCAGCAACTGTATCATCGATTTGGTTGGACACGAGGAAAAAAACATCACCTTTTTACCCGGGTATGTTTCTAAGTCGCGCACGAGGATGGATATATACTTGTCTTTTATTTCTCCATGTTTGCAGATACTGAAGTTGTGGCCAGACACCAGGATGAAGTGAAGAAACTGAAGCCAGACGACCAACCTATAGAAGACTGCTAAATAAAGCAAAAAAAACCAAAAACATTCGTTATATAAAATAACTATTTATCGTTAGTTACACTATATAAGTTACAAAGCCCAAGGATGAAAAAAAAAGAGCTAAAGTTTCTAGAGAGTGCTACTCGTCTGAAGTGCTAGAGAGGAAATTACCCTGGTGGTTGTCCATAATGATGTTCTTTGAAGTTGGCTTTTCACAACTGGGCTTCAGTGCTTTGGTAGCTTCCTATATATGTATGTACCTGGCCGCCTACGGCAAATGGTGTTTTCCAGTTCCATAGCCGGGTCGTGCTGGGATGTCTCATTCACCTCTTTTTTTAAGGACTGCAAATAAAAATTATTCATACATAAAGCTATGTCATTACTAATCTTACAAGTCGATAAGAACATTGAATATGCAATCAAGTAAGCCTTGTATCCTAGGAAGCCTCTATAAAGACAATTGGGGGGGAGGGAGAGGGAAACCCCCCCGCTGAAAAGGTAAAGTTCGCGTTCAAAATGAAATCGTGACTATTCCCCATGTGTCTCATCGCAGGAGGAAGAATTTATTGCACAATAGAGATCTGAAGAAACCACTGCAGCTTCTGCCATATACCTTTGACGCAAAAGACGTGTATACGCGTTTATACATGTATGAAAGAGTGGGGGTCATATTTATCAAATCTATATCTTTAGAGAGAGACGATCAGTAGTGTGGGGCTTTGCCAGGGATAGTAACGCGTGCTTTGAAGATGCTTCGTGTAGGGTGAGGATTTGCAGTGGCCCCCCGCTGAATCCCCCCTGGTGCTG